AAGTTGGAAGGGTCTTCACCTGAACTTTTAATGGAACAAAAAATCACTTCCAACGTTGCACTTAGAGTAATTACTGAGACAAGTGAGCTAGTTAAAGTTTTAGCTTTAGTAATTCATACTATATATACAGCTTACAATTGTTTAATAAAGCATATATAACTAGCCTGATAGAGGGTTTAAAAAAAAAAAAAAAGATATCTTAAGAAAAATATTTAAATTTTAACTTTTATTTATTAAAACTTTATTATCACTTAAAAATTTATATAAAAAATAGAAATTTATAATTTATATTATTTATTTTTTAATCTTTTAATATTATAAATGTTTTATTAAGAAATTTAAATTTTTAAAAAATAAATTTTTCTAGATTTTTTAATTAATAATAATATTATTGAAATATACAATATAAATAAAATCAATAAAAGTTTATTTATATTTCAAAAATCAATATGTTTTGTATTAGCTAATTATTTTAATAAAAATTTGTATTATTCAAAATTTAAAATCAAATTAAAATAAATAAATTTCAGTAAAAAACTATAAAAGTAAAAACTTTAAAAAAATCAAATTGGTTAAAAAGAAAAAAATAAGTTTTTTTACTATACAAAATCTCTATAAACTTTTTATTTCAAAAATTAAAAAGGTTTCTAAGTATTTTATAATTAGTTTTTCTTTTTTTGAAAAAATTTTTGATACTAATATTAAAGTAAAGTATTACTTGATTTTTTTTTTATTATTGAAAGTCAAGTTTTTGAGTTATGATATTTTTAAATAATAAAGAAAGAATAGAGACAACTCTTAAAGTTATACTTCAAATTGTTTTAAAGAAAGTATTAAGACTTTACTAACAAATAAGTATAAAAACTTCTTGTAAATTTATATATATATATGATTAGATGATTAATGAAAAAAAATCTAATATTTAATTTTTTATTATAAAAATTTTTATTATATTTTATTTTGGAAATAGAAAAAATTATTGAATATAATATTTTATTATTATTAGTTTTTTTTTTTTTTTAGAAATCTTTTTTTATTAGCAATAAATATATTACTTAATTTTTTTTAATTATCAAAAATTAAGTTTTTGATTAAAAATATTATAAATAAAAAAAAAAAAAAAGAATATTAAAAATTTTTATAAATACTTTTTATATTATTTAAGAATGGTAATAAGACTTTATTAGTTAAAAAATTAAAAAGATTTTATATGCTATAAATATCATTTTTTTTATACGCAGTTAAAAAATTTGTGAAAAGAGTTTTAAAGAGTTTTAGTAAAAAATCCAAAATCTATATTTTCTTTATTAATAATATTATCTTAAAATTTATTTATATTCTTTTACTTTAAATTTTTGAATAATAAAAAATTAGTATTAAAAGATATAGAATTGCACGCAGTCTAAAAATAAACTAATTTTGTAACAGTTGGAAATTGATTACATAAACCCCGATGACTATAATACCCTTAAATACGTAATTGCCTATACCCGATAAGGTTTAAAAAATGGACCAGAGTTAAACTTCTTTTAACTAAACTTTCGTCATAATCGCACTTCTCGGAACCATTTAATTGGTAAAGGAGAATCACGATAACGATTACGCCAGTTAAATAATGATAATCATCGAGATTAATAATGGTGATTGACCATTTGCACATTCAATCTTTCCAATCTAGTAAAGGGTTCACTATCCTTTCAATAAAGGGCTTCGTGATTTTCGTGTGGCCAAAAACACGGGCACGGTGTGGCTGCGCTCAAGTCTAAAGCGTGTGACAGAAATTGTGAAACCTTATCAAAAGCCCCGAAATGAGCACCTTATCTTATACATTCGCGAGAATTCTCGAATATTTTGCAGATGTTTGCGGATACTACGCTACAGCAAATTGCAGAAGAAGTATCTGATAAAAAAGAGTTGAACACCGATAATGAAAATGTTTCCATTGATCAGAAAAAACCGACCATATTATCCGGAAGGTTTAGCTTGGCGGTAAAGAAGAGTTGGAACAATGAATTCTCAGAAGCAGAAGGAATTTTTGAAAAATACAAGGACAAGATTCCCAGGTGGGGTGTTGCTTATGCCGAGATGCAAATGCTTAAATATTTAATGTCCGGTCAGATTTATGAGAATGAAGCTCCGGAAATGACTACTTCACTTACGGAGGCGGAAAAGTTGGCCAACAAGGTTGCCGAGAATAAAGAAGATTTTGTAGGCTTTGGTTCGCTTTTGATTTCGCGTGTTGCTTCCTGACTTAAACTATTCTCTCACTTATTCTCACTCATTTTATAGGAGACCACGTTTACGGTGTTTAAAACTGAAATCCTGAAAACAAGCATCGAATCTGACAACACATCGGCAGGGGAAGAAGCATCACTCCGATCCAACTATCGATGGGATTGTGAGTTGGCTTTAGCAGATGTTCTCTTGTTCCGATCAATTTTGCAAATGATCGGAGGTAATGAAATCAAGGGAGCATTTAATTTGCGCAAGTCTTGGAAGATTTATTATAAAGTTAGGGATGAGATTACTCAGATTAAGGGGAATGCAGGCAGAGGTGAAATTTATAAGCACGAGAGTGCAAGCAGTAGTCGATGGAGCCTTGGAGATGCACTTATGGGAAGGAGGGGTAGCGTTAGCAGTCTGGTTGGATTTAGTGGTAGTTCGCAGGACGTCCCCAGCTCGATAGAAGTTGATCTCGATGTTGAAGATTGTCTCGAATTCGGTCTTGGCTTATTTCAGTTCGTCGTTTCAATAGTAAGTTTCGAGCATTACAATAATTCAATAACTTGGACTTTAATGCCGACATGTTATTTAATGTCACTTGGTGATAGGTTCCAAGTTCTTTCTTGCCCATGTTGAAGACCTTTGGGTTTAACATCGATCGTGAACAAAGCATTAGAATGTTGGAGAGTTGCTACTCTCGTGACGGCGTTAGAGGTGAGCACCAACCAAAAACAGTTATTGATGAAAATTGATGAGTCGGTCCTTCGAAGATCTAAGTGTTTTCTTATGGGGGTATTTGTTTAGCACCATCTGCATCATTATTCCTCTTTTTCAATTACCTTTTTCTTACCCGCGGTCTTTCCGACCGGATACCTTCACTAACAAGGGCTGGAGTAATTTCCAAGGAGTGTGTCGGAAAATATCCGTAAGTGAAATAAATACTTCTAAAATTTATTTATGTGGTATCAAAGTTTCTGAGAGGTCACTATCACAAATAGGAATAGCCCGCCGTTCCTTTTCATGGCATGCCAACATGCGCGTAAAGTTGGGAATATTCAGGAAGCCATAAACCACATATCAATGAGCATCATAAATTGTGAGAAAAGCGGAGTTACGAGCACAAACCATAGATTTGAAAAGGGCATGACATATTTGATTAGTCTCGATTTTTCTGCTGCAAAGAATATATTTGAGCAGCTCTTCTATGGAAACACTATCGTGTTTTCTGGCAAGAAAGGATCATCCATACGTCTTCAAGGGTCAGTGCATGGGTCCACACGGCTTTTCTCAAAAAATGGCAGCACGAAAAAGGGCAATCTATTTCTCCAATTTTTCGAATTTGAGTTGAGACCATTTTGTGGACTGTGCTTGGCGGGTTGTTATCTTATTGTCAAGTCTGGTGAAGGAGCGATGAAGGAAGCTTTAGACGTCTTAAAACAAACCAAGGCAATGACAATCCCGGAAACTGAGAATAGCAGTAGTAGCATTGCCGGTAGTATCGGACTATTTGGAACGAGTGCAAGTGGGTTAGTCGGAATCGCCACTGGCGACAAGAAAGAAAAGGTAAGATAGATGATGATGATGACAATAAATTGTAAGATGAAAAGGATCCGCTGAAACGTTTTTTCTTACTAATCCTCAATGTTTAGTTCAAGATCAGTCGTTATAACAAGTTTGCCGGTCGATATTCGACCAAGAATGTGGAAAGAAACACGGTGTCACCCTTCATATTGTTTATTATTCTTTACCTTCGTCGAGATATTTTTTATATGCCAATGGAGTTGAAAGAACGATGGTCAAAAGTGTTGGAAACCACATGGGAGGTAAAGTGCGTCCCTCTTGAATAAATAAAACTTACGCGTTGGCACATCACAGTTATAATTAAAATTCTTATTGATCGTGTAGAAAATTGAAAAGCCTACTGATCCTGACACGAATGCTGTGTACTTGTTGCTTCATGGTGTTTTCGGAAAGTTCCTTAATCCTGACCCCACTATAGCTCAAATTTCATTCTGCGAATGTTTGGCTTTGGAGGTTGGGATCGTCAGTGAGACGTGGGTTATTCCTCACTGCAGATATGAGGTTAGATCCAAAAAAAAACAAATTTTTTTTTTAAGGCCAATGAACTATTTGGTTAAACTTATTATATCCTAATCTGTTATTATTTTTGTTTGAAGCTTGGAGAATTATTCTACAAAAAATTTGGCAACGAGGAAGCGGCCATGGAACAATTTAAATGGATACTTAAGGGTCAAAGGCCAACATCTCGCGTGGGTATGGTTCCTCGAAGGGATAGTAGCATCAGCACAACGTCAATTACGCCGGGATGTTCAATAGATTCAAACAACTCCGATCGATTTAAGAAATATGAATTTGACAAAATTCTTAAAGCGAGATGTACAGAGGCAGCCGAACAAATTCGCGGGGGGTCATCTCAACAACTCGCCGGTGTACATACATCTCCGCCACCATCACCATCACCATCACCATCGTCAGCCAGTCATAGTCGAAAGAAATCGGGTTCGACGTCGAGTTTAATCAGGGAGGTGCATGAGCAAAAACTTCAAAGACGACTAAACGATCAAGTTACTTCTCTATCTTCCACCACGGAGGTCACGAGTAATGATGGCGGCAGCGATGATGAAAACAACTTAAATAAGAATGAACAAAGTCAAACTGAAAATGTGATTGCAGAAGAGGAAGGAGGTTTCATCTCGGTATTAAAATTTAAGAGGCTGTATAAACAAAGATCACATAGCTTAACTCAAGTCGGTATAAACGACAGCGATGGTAATGAAAGTAAAGGCAACAAAATCAATATTAAGGGATTTAAAAATAAATTCCCTGGATTTAAATTTCGGTGATTGTACTTGGAAACTTTTTGGGTAATGCTAATATCCTTAGTACCTAATAGCTTTTTCGATTTAATCTAGTTGATAATTTATTTTTTGCTGTATATACTGTGCTAGTCAGGTCATTCTTTAAATTGTATCCGTCAATTATATGCTTGTATGTTATAATTTTTTATCTCTAATACTGTAAAATTGTGTTGTACATTTATATTTTTACATGTAAAAATGTCTTATCGATCCAATCAACGATCACTGATCAACCAAAATTTTATTTATGCTCATCAGTTCAAACACGAACTCATTAAAAATGAATAAATCTCCGCACTTACCATTAGACAAGAGCTCATTTATCGCCAGAAATTGTAAACGAAGATTAGATCAATTATTCATATATTCCAATATCGTGACAAAACAAGTACTGCTCACAGTCGGAAGGACCGCTAAGGTATGGTCGTCACTATCGCCATCTTATGTTTTCGCATTACCCTCCTCGAACTCATTTCAATTCGAATTTACAATAGACCAAATATCTAAAATCACAAATTACAGATGATAAGCAACGCCCTCACGAAATCCGTCGCGACTTCTGGAAACCGATCATAGCCATCTCTGGTTTCAGCTCCTACACTTCTGTAATGACCACCAACAATATAATTCAACATAAACTCCGTACCTACCCAAAACCTCAAGACTACTATCGATTAGAACGTAAGGTACGTATGCAAGATGACATGAATCAACTGGAGAAAAGTGTCTACGGCCTATGTTATGCGATCAATAGTCTTGTACACACTAAAGGATATGAACAGGAGGGGTCCAGTAAGCTCACCATATATTGGGAACGGTTGGCGATGAAAGATTTACCCTCGAAATCGGGATTAGATTTAAAATGGCCAGTGTGCGTACAGCATAAGAAGCTAATGCTCAAGAGGGGAACAATTATGTTGAACGAAGAGTTTAAGGTAGTGCAAAAACCTGAAGTAGTCAGGGAAGCCCTGAGGAAGGAGAGGTATCTGAAGAGTAGAAGAGGAAGGATTGAGGCAGAGAAGAATGTGATTAAAGCTAAAGAAAAGGTTGCTACAGATGGTGACGGGAATAATAATAATAACAATAATAATAATAATGATAATTATAATAATGAATCGAAAAGCGAGTAAGAAACATAAATAACAATAAATTATTCCGACTGCAATGTTATTTTTATTTTTTTTTTTTTGAATCCAATTAACCAATTTCTCGGCTGATTTTTCTCTGGAATTGAAACGTCGCATTAATATTATATTTGAAGGAAATTTTTTATTCGAGCGGGCACTTATTTTCAAAAGTCCAGTCTCGTGAAGCCAAATGTTCACCTAGCATTCCTATTACTGTATATTTAAGATTTCATATCATAGTGTAACTATGCGTTGATAATCTCTAGACATGAATTTTTCAAACTTGATACCAAACTTGAGTCCAAAAACCTTTGCAACTTTTGACTCGAGAGAGGAAGAGTCACCTTACATCTTTGATATTGTTGCCACTTCGACTTTTTGCGTTGCATCAGGTTCAAACAATGAACTTAATTCGTGGAATTATAATGATAGTTCCTTGACTTTTAATGGAAAGTTGGCTTATCACACTGATACCGTTACAAATTTAAAAATACATAAAAATCAGTCACTGATTTCAAGCTCAAAAGACGGTCGCGTCGCAATATGGGATTTGCGAGCACCAAGGGTCGAACCAGCTCAAGTGCTCCAAGGTATGCTTCAAAAAAAAAGAAAAAACGAAATTTTTTTCTTAAAATTCTTGAATGTCGACAAAGCTCCGATTCTTATTTTTCAGCCGCAGGACGCGTGCCATTATTATCCTTTGATATTAACAATTCGGACACAGTTTTGGCAGCCGGCACAGAACTCGTTGGTGAAGATGCGAAGATAATTTTCTGGTGTGTGGGATAATTTACCTTTGGCTTTTAATTTGATAATTTCAATGAATCAATTTAGTGAACTGGCGCAATTGAACTTTTCAGGGATTTACGGAATCCCTCAATTATATCACAGTTCGTCGAATCGCACAGTGATGACATTACCCAGATTCAGTTTCACCCAACGAGTCCTTCGCAATTCATCAGCGGTTCTGTGGACGGTTTAATATGCATCTTTGATCTAAAGAATTTTGACGAAGATGATGATTTAATTGGTGTGTTAAATTCTGGTTCGTCGATAAATAGAGCGGGATATTTTGGATCGGGTGGCGAATATGTGTACTGCCTGACCCACATAGAAACATTTAGTTTATGGGGAGCCTCCGAAGTACATCAAAAATATGTCATGTTGCTTCTAAAGCTGGCTATTTCAAAAATATAATCTAAAGAAAGCATTTGAACATCTTAGTGTAGATCACTTTGCGACATGGGCGACATTCGTCAAGACACTATTCCCATTGACTATGCAATCGACTGCAAATTTGATTATTCCACGAATCGATTGTTCCTGTTTACCGGCTCTAGGACGTACGCATCTTTCATTCATCTAATATTGGTGACTCTGACGATTCCTAGTTTATTTTATTTATTTCTTTATAAAATATTCCCGTAGTGGGGATCTCAGCATCTTACACGTAGCCGTAAACGAATTACAACCGTGTCAAACCTTGAGTGGCGGGCATTCCGAAATCATTCGTAGCGTTTTCTGGGATCCAACGGTTTGTTCTCGAATATCTAGGATTTTTTTAATAGACGATCCACTCAATTGTATCTAACTTCCATTATCAGACCAACATTTTCCTTACCGGTGGCGAAGATGCAAGGTTATGTCTATGGGGGCCTTAGATAATTCACTTGAGAAATTCTTTATTCTATTAATGCACGATGGTGATGTAATATTAATTATTACGCCCAATTCAAAAATAAGTATTACATAGAAAATTGTGTACATATTTTATGTGCACGCGTTAAAATTAAACAGTGCGAAAAAATAAATTTGTTTAAAGAAAATAAGTGAACGAAGAGATTGTGATTTTGCATTTTTAACATATCTTTTTTTAAAAAAAAAAGTTCTGCGATTTGAAGGTAAAAAAGTCAAGAATTGATTAATAATGATATATTGTAAGTCCTGGAAAATTTTTACCGAGAAGTAAATAAAATTATTTCTAATATGTAATCTACTGTAGAAATTTTAATTTTAATTTTTTTTTTTGCAATATTTATAGCCAGGCCAGACTGTTGTACAATTTATTCAAACTGCATGGTATCTACTATAGCTAAATTATTTATCATGTTTAACAAATTCGTTATAAGCAATAATGGCTTCTAAGTTTGACTTTGGAAACAATATTTCACCCATAATGGATTTTGAGTAAAGACTTTCCTAGTTCACATATCACAATTAGCAAATTGTTATTACCATATATCATATCAAATTATTGGAATACAGGAAATTATAAAAAGGGATTAATTGAAGAATATTTAAAAATACATAATTGAGTAACAAAAAGAAGGAAGAAAGTAAAAATTTATTTTTAAAATATTTTTTCTTTTTCTGATCTTTCAATTATATTATCTATTGAATTTTTACATATTATGAACTTTCTATTATGTCAATTTAAAAAACTTGTTATTATAAAATTTAATCAAAATAAGATTAAAATTATCATTAAATCTTTATTTAATTAGAATAATAAAAATAAAAAGATTTTAAACTAAGTAAATATTACTTTTTACTATTTGAAAATTATTACTATAAATTAATTTAATTGAAAAAATGAAGTAGAAATAAAATATCAATTAAATTTTTTTTATTATTAAAACATATATTATAATCAATAGAAACTTGTTTATATTCTATTATTAATAAGTTTAGTATCAATCAATTACTTTTAGTAAAATTGATATTATTTCAAAATTTAAGATCAAATTGAGATAAACAATTTTTTAAAAAATTTTAAAAATTTATATAGCAATAAGAAAAAAAATAGTAAATAAAAAATTTTTAAAATTTGAATTTTTGTTTATTTATTTATTTAATATAAAAATTTTTATATCATAGTCTTATATTATAAATAATAAAACTATTTCATAATTTTTTATAATTATCAGAAATTATATTTTTATATAAAAAAAAATACAAATAAGAAAAAAAAAAACAAAATCAATTATTAAAATTATTTTTTAAATTATTTTAAAGAAAGTAATAAAACTTTATTAATATAAAAATAAAAAACTTTTCATAAGTATCTTTTTTATATATAGAATTATCAAAGAATTAATAAAAAGTTTTATCTTTTATCAAACTAATTATATATATTTTATTAAACTTACAGTAAATTATTTATTTTATTGTATTATAAAAAAACTTTTTTTATCAATTTTTTGATTATATATAAAAAAGATGTTTATAAAAAGTTTTTTGTTTTTTTTTTGTTAAAACAACTTAAAATATAATTTTGAAAATTATCTTTATTTCTTTTTTTTATTCATAAATCTTTTTTTTCAAAAACTTGATTTCTGATAATTAAGAAAAGTAAAATAATATCTTTGCTACCAATTATAAGAAATTTTTCAAAAGCAAAAAAATTGATTGTGCAATGCTTAAAGATTTTTTTATTCTTCAAAGCAAATTAATATAAAGATTTTATATAGTAAAAGGGTTTATTCTTTCTTTTTTTTTTTGAACTATAATTATATTTAGAGCTTATACTTTTATAATTTTCTAAAGAATTTTATTTATTTTAGTTGATTCTAAATTTTTGAATAGTATAATTCTTATAAAAGATAATTGACTAATATAAAACATGGTCATTTTAAAATATAAATAAGATCCTATTGATTATATCCATATAATTTAATAATATTAGTAATAATTAGAAAAAAAAGTTTAAAAAGTTTTTTTTCAAAATTAAAAGTTTTTCAAAAAATATTTATTATATTAAAAGATGAAAAATAAATAATACAAAATACAAATTTTATCTCTACTAAGTTTATTAGATAATAAAAAAGTTTTACTAAACAAAATTAAAGTTTTTTCTTTATTTGAGTTATTCTAGTTCAATATTTGCTTAAATAATAAATTTGTTAAATTAATTATTGAAATATTGCAAATAATAATAAAAAATATTTCTTCTAAAATTCAATTTGAAGTAAAAAGAAATTTCCATTAAACAATTATTTTTTCTTTTATGCTCACCTTTTCTCTTTAACTTAACAATTTATAGTTAATGAATTTAAATTTTCTTTCAAAATGATTAGATAAATTTTTATTTTGTAAAAAATTTTTTAATTGTCAATAAACAATAGTTATTCAATATCTATCTAAAAATTTGATCGAAAAACAAGAAGAATTTTTAAGCTATACAGTATATTATATAAGTGACAAGAAAATACAGTAATTATATATTTAATTGTATAGAGAACATGGATGAAACGTTACTATCTTTCTATCTTCCAAATATGATTACAATAAATAAACATGAATCATCAATTGTTACAATTTGAATAACTGGTCACAAAAAAAAATATTTATCGTAATTCTTAGACGTATATCAGTTTGTATTTTCAAGCTTAAAAATATATCACATGATGATATTTTTTCTAGCGAAATTAATATTTATGTCAATGAGAAAGGATGATGTAATAAAATTGAAAAATTTGAATTTATGAAATTTTCTTATTTTGAATTCATTTTGTGAACATTTTGTAGATTCCGTAAAATCTAATTTCAAAAAAAATATACAGATCTGGAAATAATTTCAAAAGGACTCACGAGTAAATTACAACCATTAGATTATTCATTTTAATCAATTATAAGAAATATATTTTAGAATAAATATTTACATTTATTTTATTATTGATAATAGATTCGTTGTCAATATACTGTAATGATTGAAATGTGACAAGATTTAACTCTGGCTGAATAAATTCGTAAACCTCTTATGCTACTCTTGCTACATGGATTAAAAATTTTTGAAAAGAAATAAAAAATCTTCTTAATGTTGTGATATTTTGACCTATTTAAGATTATTTGATATTTGATTACGATGAGTTAAAAAATAATAAATTAGAAAATAATGAAGATAGAAACATAATTATCATGATAGCATTGAAAAATTAGAAGCCGTATAAGATGTACAGTATCAATGCATATAATTGGCTATTCCCATTTGCAGATCTTTTGTAGGGGTTAAGCTGGGTTGGGTTTTTTTTTTTTTTTTTTAATGCAATCACTTTTCTTTCTTTTACACGGCATGATTGCATCTTAGCAAGTACAATATTATTCTGTGCCGTAGCATATGCTTCCTGTAAATGATTTATCGTATATGATTTTCGATTCTTATCAAACCAAATTGTTGTTAGGCTGCAAAATGGGGAATTAATGCATTCATTTTAGTAATAGAAACCATTGAATAATTTATACTCAGAGAGAACTTCTATTCATATAAGATACGAACTGAATAGCATTAGTTTGGATTTATCGCTTTTGTTTTTAAAAGTTTTCGCTAAATCATGTATGAAACCTGGAAGTTGTTTTTTTTATGAATTTTCAAAAGCGAATAGTTTTCGACTTTCTAATTTGCTCCTTTAAAACAGTCACGAATTGGTAAGATTTTTTTTTATTTTTATTTAAATAATAGTCGGAATGAAAGAAAATTAGGATGCTTGTTAGTAAAAATTAAAATTTTTAGTTCGTAGAAAAATTGATTAGAGATTACTACGAATAAGAGAAAAGCTTTGTACGTGTTTCTCTATTCTTTTTTTTTTTTTTTTTTTTTTACCGTTAGCCTTTTTTTTGTATTTAATTTTTTGGATTACCTATGGAATTAACAATATCACTAAATAAGATCGATACATTTTTAATCGATATACATTTTTTTGAGTTTCTAACAAATATTGAGAGTCCGACACACTATCTCTTTTAGTAATAAAAATTGTCAACATAAGATATGAACTGAATAGCGACACCTACGATCCATCGAGCATCATCCATCATAACTCGTGGTATGCGAAATCGTCAATAATCCTCATTTCGTGACACAGCGTCTTACAAGAAAGTTTATATTATGATGATGACGGTACTATTTTAATAATAATTCCGTTTTTCAAGTAATCTTCATTTTCAGATTTTTTTGCTAAGATACTTCTAGTTTTATTAAACCAAATATTTATTTTTTTTTTTAAACCCTCTGTCAGGCTAGGTATGTGTGCTTTATCGCTAAAGTCTGCAATATTAAATAAATATCTTCAATGGTACACAATTAAAAATAATTTACAATGTATTACCGGAAAATCTTTTTTTCGATATGCACGTTATCATAATGATCTTTAAATATAAGAAATAATTAAAAAAAAAAAGGCAAAACTTCATGTTCATAT